ACTGAATTAACAGCTCACAGTATAGAGTGGTAGAAGAAGAAAAGATGACTTACACTTGTCTTCCTTCTCTTTCAGGATAAGAGTACAACCATATGCTGTCTCATAGAAGCATTTGATGATAAGAAGGATACTGTTAGAATCATCAGGGAGTTGAAAACCTTTCTTCTAGATTCCAAAGATAGTACAGTAGAAAGCATTCTGAATTACAGAAACCATGCCTGACATGGCTACTTCATTTTTTTTCTTCTACATAAATGGAAGGGAAACTATAGAAAATGTTAATGGAAGAAAGAATGCTATTCTCTGGAGAGGCATCCATCAGGGAGAAAGAGGAGACTGGCAAGCAGTCCTGTCCTGGAATTATTTCTTGCATCTCAGCTGATTAATCACAAGAAATGGCATGAATCTCGGCAGGAGAGAACCAGCTTTCTCCTTAGTAGCTAAGTGAATTCAGTTACATCACTTAAACACTTAGATTTGTCTAAACTGGGGAGAATTATTATAATTCCACAGATTGTCTATCACAGGTCTAAATAAAAGTTGACGTGAAATTGCTTTGCCAGTGCCTGTCACATTTGATAACAGATTGATTATGAGGCAGTCCAGGATAGAGCAAGGTGAAAGCCTGAGTCAAGGGCATATTGAAGCCTCAGACTGGAAGCAATGAAGAACATGAAGGCCTGTATTTAGAAAGTATCTTGAAATGGTTGTGGGAATATCAGTTAAAAATACATTTTTTGATCATTGAATGACCTTGGCCAAGCCTTTAAGGTCTTTGCTGTAGGTTTTTTTATCCAGGAAATGGACAATGATAACACCTTTCTCATAGGTTATTGGAAAGTTGTATAGTTTATTAAATGTAAAATATAGAGAAAAACAGCTACCCTATAGTAAGTGCTACCTAAATGATCATTTGTAGGTACATCAATTGATAATGATACCCTATCTATGGTGCTCCCTTTTAGGTACCACTCTAAGTGATATACCTCCAGCATCCACACGCCCAATAAGAATCTCACCATTTTCTGCACAGTGGATTGGTTCATTCAACCAGGTATGGCCCTTCAATCAAGTTAGGCCAATCAAAGGGTCAGTTTGTGGAACTGTGAATTTGACATGGGTAATGAGAAACAGGAAAAGATGGAAAAAGATGTGGAGGTGACTGACTGAATGATTTCTTATTTATTTACACCAGACACATACAAAGATATGGGACAGCCATTCTTCCCACCTGAGAAGCAGGGAGAGTTGGCTTGCTAAGAAAGAAGGGATAATGACCCACAGAGACACAGGGATAGAAAGTGGTCCCCTCTCATGCCCCCTGGTTTCATTCTTTCCTGGGTTCTGGTAGTACTTCATCCATGGACTCCTTGATCCCAAGAGCCATCTCTTTTACGAAAGCTCCCTCAAGTTGGTGTCTCTCACTTGCAATCTTTTAAGTCAGAGAACAAAGTGGATTATGCATGCTGAATGACATCTGCATCCAGGAATTTCTGGTTATAACATGCACAGGAGCTGATATTCAGCCATATGGGTTGATTTGCACATCCTCACTAACATTCACTGTGATGCTGGACATAGAAAAAAATGAGAGCATGCTAGAAGAAAAGAAGCAAGAGGTTCTTTGTTTTGGTCTCTCTCTATGAGTTAGTGAATATATAAGAACTTTGGAATTTTATTTAATTTTTAATACATGAATTGTTTTTTCATTTTTTTCCCCTGATTATTAGCCTGGCTGCTTTAGGTGAAGAGAAAAGTAGAATGTAACTACAGTGAACAAAAAGTAGTCACACAGAGAGAACTGAACAGTAACTAGAAACAGGTATGTGAATATGGTGATGCCCTTGGCATGGCAGTGGAGGCCCTGACTCTGTTTCTCTCTATGCATCAGCTTTTTTTCCTCCCCAGATGAAACAATCAAACATGGTTTCAGGCATCTTCTTACTACTGAAAGACAGAGTCTTGTAGACCTGCTGTCTACAAGCCCTAGGGAGGGGATTCATTGGTCTTGTTAGCATCAAACACGCTATTTATAACTCAGTCACTCATGACCAGAAACTACAAGTTGGCTCCCTTTGGGTGAAGAGTTCACTTTAGGGCCAACTAGTAGTAACATGGAGGCCCCAGGCTTGGAAGAAAGTGAATTTCATGAGAACAAGAGACAGTAGTGGAAAGACTGTCTCATGGAAATGTTCTATACCCTATGCGATTGGAGATCCTGCCTTTACTCTGAAATTATTTCTCATTCTTTGCAAATATTAACCAAGACTTGTCTGAATGTCTACTTTATTATCCAAGAAAGTTTAATTCCGTGTGGTTAACAATATTATCTTTAGCATCAGAACATTTCGGGTGTGTACCAGGAAAGAGAATTCTTTGAACTGTTCAGAGATGAGCATTTTGGCTCACTATGCACCAATTACTTATCTATATAACTTGAAAAAAATTAGAAATTAGGCTAAATAACATTACTTATTTAAATGATTGTATTAAGCCTCAAGGAAAACAAAATAATTAAAAGAAAGATGCCATGAACTTGTTTTTGAAGTGCATATATACATTTATTTAAATGGGTTGACTCCTTATTTGTTGGGATGTACTAGTTGCCTACAAATCAGGGGAATAGATCAGACTAACTTTATTTTCTGGATAATCACATAAGAGGAGTAAATCATCTAGACAGTGAATTAAAACAAATTCTAAAAGCCTATTGATATTTATTCCCACGTTAAGGAGGCTTTAAAACACAAGATCCTTCGGGCTGGGAAGGTGGCTCAGTGGTAGAGCGCTTGCCTTGCAAGCATGAGGCCTTGGGTTCGATTCCTCAGCACCACATAAGCAAAAAGAAAAAAGCCGGAAGTGGCGCTGTGGCTCAAGTGGTAGAGCACTAGCCTTGAGCTGAAGAGCTGAGGGACAGCGCCCAGGTCCAGAGTTCAGGCCTCACGACCGGAAAAAAAAAAAAAAAAAACCACAAGATCCTTCATACACGACCTTTGGTCAAATCCATGTCTGTAAGCTGTTCTGTTGTTACTACCAGCTTCACTTGGCTATAAACCAAGATACAAACGTGCGCGCGCGCACACACACACACACACACACACACACACACACACACACACACACACACAACCAAGATGCAAACATTTCAGTAAAACTGCATGACAACAGAGAGAATTTTATGCCTTCTGGAATACCTTTGTTTTCTTATCCATATCCTAGACCAGCATTCTCCATAGGAGAAGGGTCAGCACGAGGCTTTACCGCATGCCTAACATCCCCACCATTTCTGACAACCCTCCTCTCCCGCTTGTACATGTGGCCAGTAGAAACTAGTAATCAGTAGTAGTTATGAAACTTTATGGATTTTTAGCATTACTTACGATTTTTAAACGATTCCATTACATATTACTTATAGTAATTACTGAGTTTGAGGGCAGGGAGTTGCTTAAGGTTTGAATCAAAGGAAAGTCCATCAGCCCCATGCCTGAGTGAAGGGTCCAGGGTAGCATTTTGTTAGTGTCCTTCATGTTTGTTTGCATCTCCCCATTTCTAAAGCAAGGAGGATAAGTGACTGTCCTGAGAGGGCTGTTTGTGGGAATCAGCTGAACCAGTCCATGTAAACCACTTAGCCTGGTGGACATAGTCACGACTTAACTGAGTACTGGCAATAATAGTAGTAACAATACCATGAATGGCAACAGCAACAATAGTAAATACCTAACACCGAGCTATACGTATCACCCACAGGAAAAGATGTTAACTTCAGAAGACTTCTACCCACGGGGAGATGCAGAAAGGTAAACTGATGATCACCTTCCCAATGAACTGCCTTAATAAAGGTCTAGGTGTGTGATCAGCTTTAAGAGAAGGTACTGAGGGCTGAGTGGGTGAGTTTGTTAAGTGGGAGGGAAAAGAAAAGCCCTTCCAAGCTGAGCTGTCAGCAGGAATGAAGACACTGAGCCTGGAAAGGACCTGATGTCTTCAGAAGGCAGCATTCTCTGCGGCTGGGTCAGAGACATCTGATGGGAAAGTTGTGAGTGATGAGGTTAATATGGGAGGGCATAGCCTTTTGAATAAGAGTGTTCAATATCATTCTAAACAGGTTAGGTTCTATTCTAGGGCAAGGCTGCTGAAGGATTCTGAAGCTCTGTTTTAAGATATGTTTTGGAATGACAATTGAGTGTAAGATGCACAATAGCTGGGAGAGATTAGAGCCAGAGATCTCCAGTAGGAGACAACAGAAACCTCTGGGTGCTGGAAATGGGACCTGGATCAGAGCATGAGCAACAGTACAGGAATGCAGCCAAGGGGTCTCCAACCCACAGTGAGGAGCCCTGAGCCAACAAGGCTGAATACGAAGCTGATACAGTGTAGAGCTTGGGGAGGGAGGAAAAGAAGTTGCTGGTGACTAGGAAGTTTCATCTATGGTTTAGATATGTGAGGAGCAGTAATAGGTGTATGGGTAGTAAACATAGGTGGGAGGAAGCAGATAACGAGCCAGAGTTTTTGAACACATTCAACTTGAAATGCCAGAGAAGGTTTTCATATAAATGTCCAGTAGAAGGGCTGGGAAGGTGGCTCAGTGGTAGAGCGCTTGCCTTGCATGCCTGAGGCCCTGGGTTCGCTTCCTCAGCACCACATAAGAAAAAAAGAAAAAAGCCGGAAGTGGTGCAGTGGCTCAAGTGGTAGAGCACTAGCCTTGAGCTGAAGAGCTGAGGGACAGTGCCCAGGACCAGAGTTCAGGCCCCACGACTGGACCCCCCCCCCAAAAAAAAATGTCCAGTATACAGGGGAAATGTAAGCTTGGGACTCAGGGTAGGAGAGAGACCTAAGCTTGGGTATTCCCTGCAGTTAAGCAAATAAAGTGCATGTGTCATTCTGGGAGAGGTTGAGGCTAAGGACCTCATCTCATATATATATCTTTTGAAGACCCTTAGTAATCAATATGCTTCCTGGGTGGGGACTTTGGTCCCTGAGGTATATTCACCAAGTTTCCTTACCCTGGCTATTTGGTCTGCCATTTGGAGACGTCCATCCAGCTCTCGTCTGATCTGGGCTGCCTGCTCATCTGGATTGTCCAGCTGCACAAAGCACAAACATGCACACAGAAAGACTATTAGCTTGGTTCACCAAATGCAATAGACTTATGGCTTATCATTGTATACCTCCACCCTGTGCTCATAGAAATATTCCGCAAAACAAACATGCTTCTAACCAGCACATCCAGTTTTGAGTGAAATTCCTGGTAAGAATTATTTTAGGCAGAGCATATGCGTTGGTGGCTGTTAAGAGAGACAGTTATATGACCTTGTAAAGGAAGCATCCAGAATTTCTCACCGGCTGGGAAGCCATGTTCTTACCACCTACCCCCACATCCTGATTAGCAGAGATTATTTTTTGAGCCACCAAGCCAGCCCAACTAAATGTCAGGAACTAATTCTGTGGGAAGACAAGGTGATCACACAGGGTAGAGTTGAAAAGGAAAAACACAACCAACCCCCCTAATAAATTCCACAGAGGCACTGCGGTCTTCCACCCATCCTCTTAGAACATAAATGGACTAGCAGACAAGGCTAGGGAAGAAGGCAAGGCCTTTAACAACCTTTACTCATTCATTCATTCTATCATTCCTTTACATACTTACTATTTCATTCATCAAAATTTCAAAATATCAAAACAATGGATTAAATAGGAACAAGACAAAATCAGTCTGTGACTTGACAAAGTTTTAATCTAGCAAGAACAAGTATGGCCAGAAGAATGGGGATTAGCATCTATTGATGTCTAGATCAAACACCAAGTAATCTTGGATCTGTTTTCCAGCCTTTTCTAAAGAGTCCCCCAAAATAGAAACTAATGTATGTTTGTAAGGAAAAAAAAGATTTTGGGTTCAGGGAAGTCTGCTCCCTCCTGAAAATTTGTAATACCTATAAGCATACTCAAGATCCTGAGAAATTCTCTACTTAACTCCACCTAACTTTCCTTTTGCACATTTTTTTTTTTGTCGGTTATGGAGCTTCAACTCTGGGACTGGGAGCTATCCCTCAGCAGTTCAGCTTGAGAATAGCACTCTACCATTTAAGCCACTGTGCCACTTCTGGTTTTTCTAGTGGTTTATTGGAGGTGAGAGTTTCACAGCCTTTCCTGCCTGGGCTGGCTTTGAACCATGATCCTCATATCTCAGCCTCCTTCGTAGCTAGGATTATAGTCGTGAGCCATCAGTGCTGGCTCCTTTTACACAATTATTTCACTAAAAACAAACATCACACAGAGTCTAAGTGGGAGGAGCAGCCTGCAGTTTACATAGCTTGTCAAGGTTATGAGCCACTTCAACCAGAGGATTCTCTGCCTCAACTTGGAACTGATGGCCAGCATTATGTTGGCCTTCTTGGTATTTTTCTTCAGAATTTCCATATCTTTATTGAATTCTTGTATATCCTGCACGTTATTCCATACTCATCTGCTTGCTGGAGTTCTGAGTTCAGCCAGCTATTCATTTGTATCTTCCTTAATTTCAATCAGGTGCTTATATATCTCTTCTTTAACATCATTGATCTTTCTTACTATTGGTTTGAGCTGATGGAGCTATCACTCCATTTTCATTCAGTTCCTTCATTGGAATTTGAAGGGGCCATATTACTTGTGTCTTCATTTTAGTAATATTTCTATGTTGATATTTCTGTATCTGAGTGCAAGTTTTGCATTGGAAAACGTAACCTCTCATGACTTTTCAGCTGGAGATTTCCCAACATAGGTTACAGCTGGGTAGTGGTAGGATTGTGGTGGATTTTCTCGATACTAAACTGAGAGGGAATATGGCTCAGTAGTGAAAGATTTGGTCGCTCAGGATGATAGATCCAGTTGTCTGTTCTACTCCACGAGTGGAGGCTGAGAATCTCCTGTGCTCAGTACCATGCCATTCCTTTCCCAGGCTGTGTTTGCTGGCATTCTCTTGGTTCCATACTGCCTGCTAGAGTTACTTGTCCTCCTTAAGTGCCCTGTTTTGATTTTCTGATTGGGCCTGACAGTTAATTAACTCAAAATCCTCACTTTGAACCTTTGTAGACAGGAGTCAATTTGACATAGAGAGCCCCACTTAGGGGCTGAGAACTGTGAACTCCCTGTCAGTTGTTGTGAATTGCTGCCTTCAACTGAGAAGATTGTAGCAGTACAAGTAAGACACATGAACACTGGATATATCCTTATTGTGGCTTTGCCGGTAACTGTGGGGCAAAGTATTCAGCCTCTCCGTGCTTCAGGTTTCCTCATCTGAATATTCAGGATAACCCTACCTATGACTGTCATGTGAATGAACAATGTATACAAAATGCTCAACCCAGAGCTTGGTATGTCGTGAACCATTGGGAAATGGTACCTGGGGTTATCCATGCTGTCATTAGAATGATTTGTGTTGGCTGATGGGCCAAGATGGGGTGGCAAAGGGTCAGTGAAGAGAGTGCTAGGTTCAACAGTGGTCCTTCCTGGTGTGGATGTAGGGGTTTGGGCTGTCTTGATGTGTTATCTGAAGCAGTGAGTTGATACTGACCAGAGGTTCCCCTCTCCAGACAATTTTCCCTGGCTTCTCAGTGTCTCTCACAATCCCCAAGGTCAAGTCCCTTTGGTTGGTTGGACTTTAATTAGTGGGAATGACCAACAGGCAAACCTGGCTGCCCAATAGCTAATGATCTGAAGAGTGGCTAAAAAGGAAATGTAACTGAACTTCCTTAAAATAGACTGGCATGATAAAGAAGGCCAGCCTCGGCCGCTGAGTCTGACAACTCTGCTGTAAAACATCCAAAATTATAAAGAGGAATCAAGTAATTATCATTTCTCATGCTGGAAAGGAAAAGTCAGAGGGTTGAGATTCCATGGAAACAGGGCTCTGTTTACCATGCTGGTCTTTTCCACTGAGGAAAGGAAAGATCAGCAGGAGAACCAAGTGAAGGGCAAACATCACGTGGATAGCAATGCCTTGGCAATGTGCTCATTAGGGTTCAAAATGGACATGAACACGTAGGTTCCATAACTCAGGAGACAAATTAGCTTCCTACTGGCAGAGGTCAACCACAGGAGTACAGATATTCTTCCTTGGCAATCAAGCAAAGCTTATGACTTCTTGGGATTTTCTCCTAAAGGGTTGGAAAAACTGGGTCTAGCATTGTATAAATGCAGACAGGGAGTGGTACATGAGCTCTGGGTTCAAGATTGCCTGAGTCATGGGACTCTCCTTCCACTTTTAGGCCAATAGAGAGAGGAAGAGCAGCCAATTTGGATGCAGACTTGGATCTGGCAGAGTAGAGGCATACCCATTATCTACCCAAGCCCTTAGTGGTGCAGCCTTGTTAAGTGTCTAAACTTTGGTGGGCCTTGCACATTTTGATCACATGTGGTTTTTGAAAAGACAACTTGAATGTTCCTCATTGTGCCTGCAAAGTTAGACGGACCTGGGTCTAAATTTTGGCAACTTATTCAACCAGCAACTGAATTTTTCTAACTCTGTTTCCTGTACAGCTAGGGTACACCGCCTCTCCCCACATATTCTAAAGATTAAATGCAATGATACATGGACCCAAGCACCTATTGTAATTCTGGTACAAATAACAGGCCCTACAGTTGAGCAAAGTTTCTAGGGTTCTCCCTGTGTTAGAGTGGGGATTCACTGGATGTTCACTCTTCTCTTTGCCTTTTGTGATTTAAAAAAGAAGCCATAACAGGGCAGGGGCCTTGACATACAGGAATAGATATTAGGAACCTCTGTTCTTGTGTTTGATTTTCCCTTAGCTGTGGGACCTTGGGCCAAAGTCAGACCCTCTGCCCACAGTCCCTTCATCTGAGAGAAGCTCTTGGGTTTTATGACCTATGATTCCCTGAGAAGCCTAGACTAGTGCTCCTCAAATCTATTCTAGGAAATGTTAGCTCTGCCATTAAAAGAGTCACTGAGAGGATGAGGTCTATAGCAAGACAAAGTCTGGAAATGGCTCTCTCTGTGACTACTTGGGGTTTGGGGTACAAGGCACATGTAAGAAATCCTTCACTAAGGCATTTACACAGGGCCCCACATTCTCAAAACGTATCTGACTATTCCAATACCCCAGGAACACATTTTGGGGTGTACTTTCGTAGACCATTCTCCAGTGAAGAAGGTAGGGTGGGAGGCAGCAAGTTTACTGTTCAAATAGGTCTACTTCTGTCAGGCGCCAGTGGCTCACACCTATAATCCTAGATACTCAGGAGGCTGAGATATGAGGATTGCGGTTCCAAGCCAGCCCGGGCAGGAAAGTCCATGAGACTTGTATTTCCAATAAACCACCAGAAAATCAGAAGTGGCGCTGTGGCTCAAGTGGTAGAGCGCTAGCCTTGAGCTGAAGAGCTGAGAGACAGCGCCCAGGCCCAGAGTTCAAGCCTTATGACCACCCCACCCCCCAAACAAAGGTTTACTTCTTTTAGTAAAGGACCTATCTGGGAATAATCTGCCTGAATTCTAGGGTGAGGAGATCACCTGGGGGCCTGGCCTTCTTAGCCTCAGCCTCCCCTGGTAGGCTGGCCTCAACAATGTGCTCAGGAAGCATCATTGGGTACCGATTTTCCTTAAAGATGCCCGGCTCCTTCTCCGGTACACGCAAGCAACCATGACAAGGAAACAGGTTCAACTCTGACTCTTTCAAAGTCAACCTTATTTCAGCCAGGAGGCACCTTTCCACCAAGCAAAGGAAGATGTGACACAAATATGCAGAACATGGAAACAGAAAGAGGCAGACCATTTGATGTTGACGATTCGAATTGCTCTTCCTTCTAAAACGATCTGTGGGACGCAGCCTCAGAGTAAAAGAGCCAACCTTAGCCTCAGGATGAAAATGAAAACAATCCAGAAATATGGCTGCAAAGAGCCTTGGAGATGATGGAGTAACCTCAGGTACGTTGGGCGGCTGGGCTCGGAAGTCACAGTATGCTCTACTAAGGGCTCTGGGAGGGCTAACCGTTTGCACATGTGTCTGCTGGCACTGTTCCTCATGCTTATGACACACGCTTCCTCATCTGCTCATTGGCTGGTAACCTCTTTTTCTGCATCCTTAGCTCTGCA